CTATCTTGCTATGGCTTGATGGCATCTAAATATACTTAAGGCTTTGCTTAGCAAAATTTATTAAGAATCACTGCTTGTTGGTAACTAGCCTAAGCAGAAAAGGTCTCAACCACTTGCAGCTGCGTACTGTTGGGTGAATATCAGTGCTCATTAAACAGAGATCGCTAACAGTGACTAGAGCCAGCCATTGTGTGGGCATGTAGTGTGATAGTTTCATGCTCACCTCACCTCTGCCAATCCATGTCAGTCTTCATCTTCAGCTGTTCAGTTCTAAGCATCCACCCCACTGCAACTGACATGCCAGTGTGTAATGGCTCTCTGGGCCATAAAAACTCACTTAGCTTTTGATTGACCTAAGCCATGTTAGGCCCTGTTTCTAAATAGTAACAGCCTGGCACAGTGACACAATTATGGCAGCTGGCTGTGATTACATCTAGGACCTGTTCATAAAAATACTTAGTTCTTATATAGCACTTTTCAACTGTGCTTTTTAAAACATTGTTTGAAGGTGGGTAAATACTATTATTCCCATGTATAGGGAATTGTGGTATTTTAAGATTGAGCAGGGAAGAAAAGACACTGGGGCCATATTAAGCCCTTTGAGGGGTTGTATTTTAAAGGACAGACCTGTGAGAGGAAGTCATCCCAGGGTGGAAGTTTGTGGTTTGAAAAAGAACACAGGCGGCTGACTGGCTAGGGCTTGGGACCAGAGCCTAGAAGTGTGATTCAATCCAGGTTTCCCTCTCAACTGGGCCCAGGGGGATGATGGGGTTAGTAGGCCTTCATCCTAAGTATGCTGGGAGGGGGGAATAGAAACAGTCTCCCTCACAATAGGAGGGAGCTTGGAGCCTCTGACAGTATGTCGTACAGCCTGGATAGATGGGCTCAAGCTAGCATACCAGATATAGCTGTGTGGGTGTTGCAGCTTGGGTGAGGAGCCTGGCTCCACTGGAGCTACACCATCCACACTGCTATTTAGCATGCTAGCTTGAGCCCTGTTTAGCCCTTAGGGTATGTCTATGCAGCAATTCAACACCTGCAGCAGACTTGGGCTTGCGGGCTGTAAGACTGCAATGTAGATGTTCGGGCTTGGGTTAGAGCTTGAGCTCTGGGACCCCACCAGGGGGGAGGGTCCTGGAGCCTGAACATCTTCATAGCAATTTTGCAGCCCAAGCCTGAGTCAGCTGACACAGGCCAGCTGTGGGTGTTGCATTGCTGTGTAGACATACCCTTAGAAAGCAGGAAAGCTCTCCTTTTTCACCCCCTTCCCCTTTAACTGATCTTTGAGGGAAGGGCTGAAGACAGAATCAGGAACAAGGAAGTGAATGTGGGGAAGGGGTGATTTTACTATTTTTAAACTTTGACTTCAGTTTGTATGTTTGTTAGGATTTTACCAGCAGCCTGCTGGGGAGAGTAGGGCCTGTCTGGAGAAAGGAAACCTTGGTGGATAAAACCTGTTGCTTGTTTTTCTAAAAGCACTAAATGGGTGTGGCCTGCAGTGAATGTCTGCCTGGTAAGCACCATTTTGCAGCTGGGGAAACTGAGGCACGGGGCAGTTACATGACTTGTCAAAGGTCAAACAGCAAATCAGTGATGCATTTGAAATTAGAAACCCAGGTCTGGTGCCCTGACAGCTTGAGTTGAATACTGTGGTGGCTCACATGAAGAAAGGTGATTTCTATTCTTACCAGGATCCCACATTATTATTCTGATTTCTGCAAAATTAGCCATGTTTGAAGGATAACAAATCTCCCTTTTGCTGCCTGACTCTTTCCCCTTGATTCCTATTTTTAGGAGGACATTTGTTTGGTATCAGTGGACCAATATGTTTATCATCACTGTAACTGCATGCACCTGTTGTATTTGTCATAAGTAAAACAAAAGAGTCTGGGGTAGGGATTTTGACAGGTAGGGCACGATGGTGTTGGTTTAACACATCTCTTGTCAGTGAATTTGTGCTTCATTAACCGAAGCTGGTAGCAGTGCAGATGCACACTAGAGCTAAGTATGCTAGCATTGCTTTTTTCTGTTAGGCTAGGTCTACACTACCCGCCTGATTCGGTGGGTAGAGATTGATCTTCTGGGATCGATTTATTGCGTCTCATCTGGACGCGATGAAGCGCTCCCCCGTCGACTGCGGAACTCCTGCTCGCCAAGAGGAGGAAACGCTGTCGACGGGGGAAGCTTTCCTGCGCTGTGTGGACCCGTAGTAAGTAAACGTAGTTCAATCTAGGAAACGACTTCAGCTATGCTATTCTCGTAGCTGAAGTTGCGTTTCCTAGATCGATCCCCCGCCCCAGTGTGGACCAAGCCTTAGTGTGTTTACAAATTTTCTTAGAGGAAATAAACAGGGCATAAATGCCTCTTTGAAATTAAATGTTTCAATGATACTCTTAACATGGTAAGCTTTATGGTGAAATAGGACTATCTGAATCATAACTCAACGAAAAGTTTTCTACACTTTTTCTTAGAATTAGTTTGCTTCAGTTGTATTGACTAAACTGCATGGATTCTTGGAGCTTTTTATAAATATCTTCTTCAAAAGCAGTTTGCATGATTATTTTGATCTTAAGTTTCAGACTAAATTGGGCAGTTGATCGGACAGGGAAGTGGCAAGAACTGGAGTATCCCAGTCCAGCATACCCTGCCTTTGCCTGTGGGTCTGGTTATGTTATCTCCAAAGACATTGTTCAATGGTTGGCAAGCAACTCTGACCGACTCAAGACATACCAGGTACTTAAGCCCCATGCTAAAAACACCCACAAAACCTTAAGGTCTCCCATTCCCCCTACCCTTCTCTCACACCACACCTTTGATTCTGGAATTAGACTTGTTAGCTCTGGCTAACTTGTAGATTTTTATGTTGAGAGATTTGAGATTAGGAGCTCCTGAGTTCTAACCCCACTCTTGCATTGGCTCCCTCTGTTGCCTTGGAAGTCACTGTGACCATATTTGCCTTAGTTTCCTAACCTGTAAAATCCACAGCTTCCTCAGCAATGTTGGGAGGAGTGGGTGATATTTTTAAAAGATGCTCAGAAGAAACTACATTTAAGAAATAATACTAACATTTTACTTGTTCAGTCAGTGGACAAGAGACTTTAGTTCAGAATTTCACACTTGGGTGCATTTCCAAGTAATTATTTCCCAAGGCTAATGTTTGTTTTTAAAATACATCTACAGGGTGAAGATGTGAGTATGGGCATTTGGATGGCAGCTATAGGGCCTAAACGATATCAGGTGAGCAAGTCTGCAGAAATTCTGTTTTTCATGGTACAGTAGCATGGCTATTAAACCAAGTTGAGCAGCCCCTAGAAAATACAATTTTCCTCATCATGGAAGGCATTCCTGCAGTAGCTATTTTAATGCATTAACAAGTGTCTCCATTTTTTTTTAATTCACATGAGCAGTTCAATATACAAACATTTCCATCACACCTTATCCCATCTAATTAAAAAAATAATTATTTCTTGGTGCATATAGAATAAAATCTTAAATTATTACTGGGTGACTTCCTTTTCATTAAATAGCTACATCTCAAATTGTGCTATTTGTTATCATACTAACCTCAGGCAGAGGGGTTATATGAATACATTGTTTGGGACACTTGTCTTTCCAGTTTCCAACACCACTCCTATTAACAATAGTTTGTCAAGAGTTTCTACTCAGTGTCTGGTTAACCAAGGGGTCAGCAACCTTTCAGAAGTGGTATGCCAAGTCTTCATTTATTCACTCTAATTTAAGGTTTCTTTCTATAAGTCTAATATTTACTTTACATGCAACAATAGTTTAGTTATATAAGGTTTTTAAAATGTTTAAGAAGCTTCATTTAAAATTAAATTAAAATGCAGGCAGTGTGAGTGCCACTGACAATCCGCTCGTGTGCTGCCTTCAGCACACGTGCCATAGGTTGACCAATCAGGCTTCAGTGGTAACATGTAATATATGAATCACCTGGCCAGATCAGACCAGTAGTATAGACTTCAGAGGAAAGTGTATCCATCTCCACATACATATTGTGACCATTATGAAATTATTTGATCCACAGGAAAATTTCTAGCACTCATCAGTCAGGGGCTGGCTTATGCCCTGATGCATCTGTAAGATGTCTGACAATTCATCTGAGGGTTTTAATCATATACACACTGCCTACATTGTTAATTACTGGCATATTAGCATGTGTGTGATTTAGTGCATGTAAAATATGGTCCCTTTCCAAAAAAAGCCAACTGAAATCCTTGTCTTTAACAGGACAGCCTCTGGTTGTGTGAGAAGACATGTGAAACTGGAATGCTATCTTCCCCTCAGTATTCCCCACAGGAACTAACAGAGCTCTGGAAAGTGAAGGAATTATGTGGAGATCCTTGTAGATGTGAGGAAAGATGATAGATACCACCTTAGTAGTCCTGATTGTGTGTTTAATAGTGGAAATTTCACCTATAATGTAATTAATATTTGCCCATCCAGAGTAGCATTTTTCTATAGGGGAGATGTTTGTTAGTTTATCTTAAACTTTTGGTTTTGTCAATTTCCTTTTTTATAAAGTCAAAGGAGTATTAGTAATTAATGCACATATGAATTCCAACTAGCCTGTTTGAAATGTGTATTAGGATGATAATAGTGTAGAACCACTGCTATACATGAGTCAGCAGGTGCAAGGTTCCATGCCAGCACATCCCTTTACAGGATTAATGTAATCCACAACTGCAAACTGGGGGAGGGTTGGGATAGTTAGATTTTAGGATTTATATCGAGTTTGTGTATACTTTTTAGTGATTTGGATGTAAGATATCAAACTTTGCTTATACCAAATCTTGAACTACAGCAAATAATAACCAGATTCAAAGGAATTTGCATCTTTCTGATGACTAGAAAAAAAGTTTGAGCAACATACGGAGAATATCCATTAAACTGCATAACTTGTCAGCATATTGCAGAGCGATTTTGAATAAATTCTCCAATTCAGCAGCTTAATCTTAACTGTGATCTTTTTTCCCTATAGATGTGTAAATAGGATACAGCAACAAGGAGATAAGAATACTGATCTAAACTTTCCACACACCTATCTAGGTACCTCTCTATAGAAAGCTCTGTTCTTTTCTCAAAGGCTTCCTTAGAAGTATTCCTTAAATTATTTCCTCTCTCCCTTAAAGCAGAGTTTAAGTGCCCTTTTCTAGTGCAACAGCAGTTGTCCTTGTGGCTTTATGCTTGCAGGTATTACAAATGAAAATGAGATTTTAAATTACACGTTCTGAGTAAAATAAATGTGTGGGTCTGCTTAAAACTGATTATTCTATAGAAATTCTCACCAGTGCAGCATAAAACTTGAAGAAACCTGCATGCTAATATTCCATTTAATCTGGGAATTATGCACCTCTAAACTCACAGGTACTAATTTATTAAAAATATACATGCAGGAGTTACAAGCATCGTTTCAAATAGCCCTCTGTCCCTGTTTATGAAATCCACGTTAAATACGTACAGGAAGAGTGGTAGAAATTATAGATGCTCTTCTGGGGTAGGCTTGGGCTGAACAGCACTCTGCATCTTCAGAAGAGGAGACCAGTTAAAAAAATTACCACCGTACTAACATAGTGTCTCCATTTTCTATAGAATAAAACTGCAAGGGCTTTAGGTCATTTTCTAGTTCAATTTCTTTGCCTTCCATCTAGAAGAAGAAAAAAAAATTCAGGCTCATTTAAAATGCACACTGGTAGGTAAGTCTTTTGGTGAAAGATGGCCAGGGGGAAAAATTTAAGTCCAAAGGAGTTGGATAAGGCCTAAAAATAGCAAAGACTGCTGGCCTTTATTTCATTCTATAATATTTTAGAATGCAGTGTTGACCTTTTAAATACAACTTATGTTGTTACTTACTTTAGGACTTTCGTAAGACAATTTCAGTTCTGAACCAGGAATTTTAAGTAGACGATACAGCAAGCCTTTGACCTTCTGAATAGTCATAGAATCTGTCAAGAAAAATCAAATAGTTAACCAGGCAACCTGATTATGTACTTACATACTAGCCGCTTTTAAGTTTTACCAGATCATACTGTCAATCAAATCTCTTTGGTAGACTAGACTGATAAGTAACATGCTACTACCTAAAAATATTTTCATCCAACATAGCTTCATGATTTATTTTTCCTTTCAGGTCTAAGTGACCTTCATGACCTATAGTACAGTTTTCATATATATCACTCAGATTTTGGTGTGATATTTCTTTTGCAACTCCTCCTTAATGCTTTAGGAGCAGGAGTCTCAACTTTTGAAGCACAAAGAAATGAATGTCATTGTGGAACATTTAATGTATGTTTCAGGATTTAATTAGTTCCAAACAAATTGCTAGTAGCGTTATGGATTGGTTCATAACAAAGTGACAAGAGGATACTCAAAGTTCCATAATGAAAATAAGTTTAGTTTGTACAAGAGAGGTTTCCCATTGTGTGTGTCTGGTACAGAGATATTGATTTTCTTTGAAGCTTTATCTGAAGGCACAGCAATAGTGAGTTATTTCTGTAATATCACACAATGTACTTAGAAAACTATTTTTCTATCAAACATTTTTGTAAAAGCTGTATCTGATTTTATGCAACTTGTGATAATAAATGTTATTTTTATTTTAGAATAAAAACTGAATAAGTCTTTCCTCATAGAACAAATTCAGACATATCTGTTGAAAGAGACATTTAGTATGTATATAAATATTTAACAGCGTTCTTCCCTTGATGTTTAGCTAGGTCAGTAGAACTCAACTTCAAACTGTTAAAGCCTTGAGTGGAGTGTCAGAGGCAGGAGCACATTCTAGTTTAGACATAACTGAACATATTACTGTAAGTGGACCTTTTCCTCAGCATGACTATTATAATGAAAGGAGATTCTGCAGAAACTGACATATAATAGTCAAGGAAGACTAAGCCAGGAATTTAATCTAAACAAGCAAGGAACACAGAGTTGATGTCCAAGTCAGAATTGGGTTTCTTGGAATCTAAGCTATAAATTTAGCATAATTTGGAGCGTGTGGCCTATAGGGATTTACAACACTGTGCTCAGAGAGCCCCAAAATAGCATGGAAACTAATTTGGGCTACAATGCTATCATTACACAGAGCATAAGATTCAATTTTTTTGTTTCACTTCTGGGAGACTATATATAAATACCTTTCCATCAATCACATTTACTTACACCACAACTCTTCCTTCAGCACCCGTGTTTGACTCCAGTACTTACAAACAGGTCTGAGGGCAACCAAATATTAGTTGTACTTCCACAAGTACTAACCTTAAATTTTTAAATAATCTCACACTTTTTATCAAAGGCAGAGGGGTTGGTAATCATGCAGGTTTCCCCTGTCAGCATTTCTAGCTTGACAGCAAATTGGCATACAGACTGAATCATGCTCATACCATCAGTGCCAACTTAAGTCTTGTGATGTAGAAGCATCCACTAGGAAGGGGAAGGACTAGAGCTTGTTTTCCACACATTAGTGAACAGCCATCATATGGTAATGACTGTCATTACTGACTTTTAACCAGTAACCTTGAGGTGAAAGGTTCCATTATCCTGCTAGCAACTGTAAACAGAACAAGTTGGTCTTCCCCCCTCTCAGCAGCATTCTGAAGCAGCTGCCTCCAGATTTCTTCAGGAAAGGGAGTATTTAAAAAAAAAAACCCACAAAGGAACTGCTGTGGCATTGAAATGAACAATTAACATTCCTGTTTTTACCTGGTAGTTTCTTCTCTATAGGTTTCTGATCAGGTTTGTCCGGACATTTAATTGTCAAAGCTTTAAAAAAAATGAGAAAGTCAGTCATAATGAGAAGTGTAACTGAAGTTTGAGCACAATTCCATTATATGAACTTTAGATCCACTGGTACCAGGCATTAATTTCTGTTTCTTTAAGTGCAAATACAATTTGCATAAATCCTTTGGGCACTTAGTAAGTTGGAATTCCCTGCATGCTAAGTGAGCTGCAAAGACAAACAGTGAATGTGCCAGTTAAGATGGATTTAAAAAAAAAAAAAAAAAAAAAAAAAAAAAATCAAATGTTCTAAAGTCATTCCGCTCCCGCCTGAGAGGGACATAATTTTTTGATCATTTGGAAATGCACATCCCAGAAAGCTAAAACCCAGGCGGCTACTCTCCCAAGCCCCCAATAAAAAGGGAGGATGTTGAATATTAGGTAGCAATTAAAAAAAAAAATCTATATAAATGCCCAATCACATTTAACAACCTTAGTAGGTGGAAGTCCTAACCTGCAAATTTGGTTTCTACTGGCATGGATCTACTGCTCTGGACAGAAGTCCTAAATCATGGGTACTTCTGTTCAAGTCAGCAGAATGAAGGCTTTTGTTTCCCGTTAGACTGGCTGAATTGAACTCATGGCTGGAATCTGCCTGCCTCCCCACCCCAAAAATTAAAAGAGTAATGCTGTGGTTGGAAAGGCCAAGGATAATTACACTCATCTGTAAGGCTGAGTCTCTGAAGGTATTAATCTGACTGGATTCTGACTCTTGGGTCTTAGCTCCGTAGCCCAAGGCAGGCTGTAACTACTAGCTCTTACAGACCTTGGATCATAGTGTTTCTGGCATGCATATGGGGGATAAAGGGACATGAAGGATCAAAGTAGCCCAGTCTACCCTACCAATCCTTATAGCATACCATGGCTGTAATACCATAATACTTCCTCTTCACCCTCCCTGCTGCATCCTGAAAGTCTGCAGGGATCATATTGTCAAAAAACATCATACATCCAGATAAGTCACAGTTGTACAGTCTGGGAAGTAGCTATGTGGGACCAGAGTTAAGAGTCTGGGGAACCTTTACAAGGGAGATCCTGACACACATGCCATTCTAATAAAGCTGTAAATACATCCATAGAGCCTTAACTATCAGTTTGTTTCTGGGAAGTGTATTCAACTTCAAGATGAACTGGAAGGCAATTTTTGTGCCCTTTACTGTTCCTTTTTGGTGTACAACTTGGCTTCAAGGGTACTTAAAGCACCTATTCCTTACTGCTCCAGGGAGAGTATTTTAAATGCAAAATATATAATGTTATTGATTTCTGGCCTCTTACTTAGCAGCTGATTTTTCAGAAGGAAAGGCTGTTGTCGTTTCAGTTCACCTTCTTCAGGAGCACCATATTCTGTTAATAAAAAACACACACAAATGAAATCAACAAACTAGATTATTGGTAAACAGACGGAAGAAAGAACGGAAGAAAGTTGTGGAGATAGTTCAGCTAAAATTCTCTCTCCAGTTTAAGTCATCGCATAGGAAAACTTTCCGGTAATTGTCTGTGAGACAACATGGTATCCAGGTCATGCAATGACCATGAAACTCTACTGCCTCTCACTGTTACGCTACCATAGGAGCTAAGCAGTCCTGCTTGCCACAGTCCAGGAGCTCAGTAGCTGGGCTCCAGCAGTGCTATGAGCTAAAAACATCAATTAGCAGATCTCAACTCCTGTTAACATGATAATACTGAGAATAATTTCACTCATTTTCAATAATCACCTTTAAAAAAAAAAGGCTTATAGAGAAGATTTTTCAGCATGGAATAGCAACTTGGATACTGGGCATTTAAAAAGCAAAATAGGATGCCTGAAGTATTCATCTGTTTGTCAAAACCCAGAACACTTTTCCAACTCACATCCATTTCTTAGTTGCAGTGAGAGCACCCCAGGAACAAACAGTCTGTGTGCAGCTGTGGCCAGCATGCTCCTGTGCTTTCTGTATTTGTAATAGCAGATCTCTGAACAATGTTATTGACTAATTAAAGAAAGCCAAGCAAGAAGGTAGTTGTAAAGCAGGGCCAAAGAGCTGCAGCAAAAAGTAAGGGTCACAATGTAACAGCAAGACAGTTCAATCAGTAGAGCAATGCAATTCAAAAATTCAGTCTGAGGGGCTGGACTCCACAAGCCCTTTTGCGAGCTGAAAAAGTGACTGAGAAGGCAGCCTCTCCTAGGTCTGTCTTTACTATAGTGGGATATAATCAGGGACAGTATATGGACATTGCCACTTTAGCTACTGAAGGAAAATGGAACAAGGAGCTACCTACGTAATGGGAAATGGAGGATTAGAATTTGGTTGGATATGCAAGAAATCAGAAGACAACATACACAAGAAGCTATTTGATTAACTCCACAGAATCTCCTTGTCTTACAAGAAATTAAACTGCACTTAACCTACAGGAGGATCATAGGATCATACCTCCAGCCTGATGGAGTGCTCCTTTGGCTGACATTTCTGGAAACAGTTATAACAGTCATTAAGAAGGACAGGGATGCAACCTCATGCTGCGAGTGTCCCTAGCCTGTGGCCAGAAGTTGGGAATGGTCCACAAAGGATGGATCACTTGATGATTGCCCTTTCCATTCATTCCCTCTGAAGCACCTGGCATTGGCCACTGTCAGAAGACAGGCTACTGAGCTAGATGGACCATTGGTCTGCTCCAGTCTGCCTACCTGGTTGATTTCTAGGGGGCCTCTCATGTTCTTACTGGAAGACCCCCTAGAAATCAACCAGAAGGTCTTGGTGGGCAGGTGGGCTGTAAATAGCTCCTTAAAGTCAGCTTGCCTTACTGCCTAGACAGTACAGGACTGCAGCAGGGCAGTGACAACTTCAGGATATTCCTGTCCTGAAAAAACTGTAAACTTAAAGGGAAAGGAGCAGAGTGCCAGTGTCAGAGGGCTGTTTTGGAACTAATTAGAAGCAGTAACGCTGGAGATTGGGAGAATGACTACAGAACCGTTGACCGTCCTGCAGTTCTGCATGCTGGCCTTTTCCAAACCAGTCGGAGCATGTGGACAGAAAGGTCCTTATATTGCTTGACCTTGTTTTTGTTTTCTTCCTTTCTCTTCAAATATGGCAAGTTGAAAAAATAAACGAGGCCCCCAGAACAGAAGGACAAATCATTAAAAGATCTCTGCCACCTCTGTACACTGAAAACATCAGAACATACATAATACCAAAGCAGGGAAATCTTCATTTCACCTCGACTGTACTTACTAAGGCAGAGTAACTGGTACCTAGGATGAGCAGCAAGAAATTCCTCATTTGGTCTGTTTTTGTCTGGATTCTGATTTCCACCAGCCGTTATCCAGTCATTGCCAAACATTTTGCGATAGTCAAGCTCTGCTCCCTTTCTTTCATCAGGAAAGATCTATATCGACAAGTACAAAACACTTACTGTGTCACTAAACTACATTTCCAAAAAAAAACCCAAGTTCATGATCCTTCAAGAGTCAAGATTTCTAGATATTAGTTACTTGTATGTTCAGCACCTTATAAAACTGCAAAGAGTCTGGAAAAATCTCAACTCCCACAACCGATTCAGACTCAGTTTAGTCAATGTCATCAGTGCTCTCAGAGTACAGTCTGAAAACAATATTATGAGGTATGAAAGCTCAGAGCACAATGATTTCTTAACTATGGAACAAGTCATATGGTTTTGAAAGTTCTCTTTATATTTTCAACATCTCCCAGCATTAATTATTACAATGATACTGTATTTTGAAAAGGATAACACTGAGGTTGTCATGTGTACATATGTTATAATTTCTGACCTGAAAAGGGGGAAAAGAAAAAATGGCAAGGTACTTTAAATGGTTTGTTAAACCTATTTAACTCAAAAGTTCTATACAGGGGGAGAAAGATCCATTTGTGACATCAATAGGACTTAGGTATTTTTGAAAAATTTACCCTACGTGTCTTGCCCAAGGTTACAATGAGTTAATAGCAAAGCCAAGAACAGAATCCAGGGTTTCCTGATTCTGTCCATTTTCAAAGTGAAGGTTTCCAGCTATACACATGCATTCATTGAGACAGGGAAGAAACTCCAGACACCCTCCCACTTTCCCAAATGCTTTTACAGTGACACTTTTTCCAGAACCCTTTGTGAGATTAGTTGGGGAAAAACAAACAAACAAACAAACACCACATCACATACCTCAGATTTGTTCAGAACCTTTAATTGGCCTATTTTGGCAATGATAAGCTGCCTCACGGTCTCTGGGCTCTTCTCTGTGCCCATCAAAGGGTTATTCTGACAGTGCAGTGACTGCAAGCATTGTAGCTTATCAAGCTCATTGATAAATGACCACTGTAATGAAAAGGGAAAAGAATTGCAAAACTGGATTTTTTTTTTTTAGTATTAAAGAAAAATGTCTGACCAAAACAGCACACAGTCCGGACAGACACTACCACACACAGACCATCATCGGTGACACTTCTCTGGTTAGCCGACCCTAATCTTTTTTTGTTGTTTCAATTTCAACACAACCTACTTTACTGAATACCACTTTCATCTTGCTTCACTTAGCTTATAAAAATGAAGGACACTTTGAAGGAACTGAAAGATAAACAGGTGGAATAGCAAACAGGGCATGGATGGAGTTTTCAGTGGGTGTAAATTATTGATACATATTAGAGCATCAACATTCCAGAAAGGTTTTCTACTCATTGTATGTAGAGATTCCTGGAATTGGGGTGTGATGCTTGGCCTAGATGTGACATTGCTTCCCATGGCACAGTTCAATTATTTTGAGGAGCTTTCTGTCCATTTTATTTTTTGAAGTGCCTCCTTGCCAATGCACTCAAAGCAGGACTGTCTACAGAAACCCATTAATTTAATATTATACTGGGGGAATCACATGATGCAAGAGGTAGCAATGTTCTCTGCAGGGTTAGGTGGTGACGAGACTAGAATTGCAGGGAATCATGCTGGAGAAGGGCCTATGGGTAGGTCTACACCGCAATTAAAAATCCAGGGCTGGTGCATTTCAGCTGACTCAGGCTCATGGGGTTTGGGCTGCGGGGCTGTTTAACTGCAGTGCAGACGGCCGGGCTCAGGCTGGAGCCTGAGTTCTAGGAGCCTGTGAGATGGGAGGGTCCCAGAGCTCAGGCTGAAGTTCAGCCCGAACATCTATACCACAATTAAACAGCCCCATGAGCCCGAGTCAGTTGGCACAGGCCAGCTGCGGGTGTCTAACTGCCATGTAGACATACCCTAACAGAGCAGGTAAGAGACGTGATCCGGATCAAGATATGAAAGGTCAACTGAAAAGAGAAAGTTTGTAACAAATGGTCATGGATGATGAAATGATGAGAAAAAAGAAAGGCCTAGGAAAGGTGCATGTGTATAATATACAAGTGCAGAAGGGATAGGAAAGTGGAGTTCAGGAATTAGAGATAGTTCAGCAGTTTTGGCCTCTTGACAGTTTGAAGAAGCTAGGTAAGTGGATAAGAGAATTTGGCCTTGGCTACACTAGCGCTGTACAGCGCTGCAACTTGCTGCGCTCAGGGGTGTGAAACCCCCCCCCGAGCGCGAGTGCAGCGCTGTAAAGCGCCAGTGTAATCAGCGCCTGCAGCACTGCACGCTCGCTCGCAGCGCTGCAAGCTATTCCCCTCGGAGAGGTGGAGTACTTGCAGTGCTGCGGGACAGCTCTCGCAGCGCTGCAAGCTATTCCCCTCGGAGAGGTGGAGTACATACAGCGCTGAGAGAGAGCTCTTGCAGCGCTGCGGGCGCGACCACACTCGCGCATCACAGCGGCAGCGCTGTGAATCTCCAAGTGTAGCCAAGGCCTTTGAGATGAAGGCAGATTATGTCATGGGTAGGATGAAAAGTGATAGGGTTTATTTGAACTTGACATTTCCAAGCTCTCAAACAATGGAGGGGGATTAGAAGGAGCAATATAGCTGTGACCTAAAGATAATTACAGGAGATGTTCATAAGTAGCAATATATCAGTGCCCTTTTGCTGTGTTACTCCTAAGCAGCTGTTGCTGTTATGAGGAGTGTGGACAATTCACAGTAGTGGAAGTGTTCCCTGGGGAAATGTTGCTTGTACATGGCAGTTGCTCTTACAAGGTGTTGCTGCAAACAAGCATCTATTGTATTATGATGCCACTTCTGGAACATGAGCATTTGTATTTAATTTTAATTTATCAGACAAGAAATCCAATTCATTCTCTGCACGTACATCTAGTGAGCAATGATTTTGCCAATTTCTAACTTCAGTTAATATATCTATATAGAAAATACAAGCTTTCCAACTAATTTAAAAGGGAACCCAAACAGTGGCAGTGTGTCTATACTCCCTAGCAGTCACCTGATTCCTATCCAACTTAATGCTCAAGGAACTGCACATCAGGTATGATCATATTTTGTCATTGGTTTAGCTTAATGGATCATTTTAAACAATATAAGAACACTGTAATCCTTAAAAGAATAAATTTAAATCAAAGAAACATATCTCTCAGGATGCGCTTCCTTTTGGTATCCGCAAGCCTTGCTATCAAAGGTCATGTGATCCAGTTCCCAATTAATCTTTGGGAAAGTTGGGATAGCAACCTCAAAGCCCAACCCTGAAAAGTGCCGAACATCCTCTACTTCCATGAAAGAGACAAAGCCCCTACCACATTATGGGGGCACTAGGACCCAGATGGCACCCCCCACACACCTGACCTCAGGGGAAAACTGCAGAGAGGAGCCAGCCAAAGACTCCAGCCAGTTGGGGCAGAAACAGCCAAAGCAGGGACCTCTAGGCATTCCAACAATTTCCTACAGTTGAAACTTTCTCTGCTCTGTGCTGACTAGCTGTTTGCTCAAACGCTCCCCCTCCCTCAGTCTCTTCACACCCACCCCTCTCACTATCTACTCCCCTGCCCCGTCCCCTCGCCCCCTTCCCTTTTCTTTCCATGTAGCTAAACCTATCCTAAATAAACCACCCCCCACCCCACCAAAAAAAATCATGAAACTAACCTGCCATTTGCCACCATCACATTGTTCACTCTACTTCCTCCACCCTCTGTCCGTCTGGTCTAATTAGCAGACAAGCTCTTCAGGGCAGGGACCATATACTACTCTGTCTGCACAGTCTGAACATTCCTGGCTGGCCATAGGCACTTCCATAATAATAAATAATAATAATAATAATAGTAACTCATTATCAATCAACCATGGTTAAGTCACCAGGAGAGGAGGACATAAAGCACCTTTCAGCATGGGTCCCTTCTAGGGCTGTCGATTAATCGCAGTTATCTAACACTATTAACTCAAAAAAAAAATTTGCGATTAAAAATTAATCTTGATTAATCGCAATTTTAATTGCGCTGTTAACAATAGAATACCGATTGAAATTTAATTTTGGATGTTTTTCTACATTTTCAAATACACGGATTTACAACAATTACAACACAGAATGCAAAATGTACAGTGCTCACTTTTTACTACAAATATTTGCACTGTAAAAAATGATAAACAAAAGAAATAGTATTTTTCAATTCACCTCATACAAGTACTGTAGTGCAATCTCTTTATCGTGAAAGCACATCTTACAAGTAGAATTTATTACATAAGTCCACTCAAAAACAAAACAATGTAAAACTTTAGCGCCTACAAGTCCACTCAGTCCTACTTCTTGTTCAGCTAATTGCTAAGCCAAACAAGTTTTTTTACATGTACGGGAGATAATGCTGTCCGCTTGTTATTTACAATGTCACCTGAAAGTGAGAACAGGTGTTTGCATGGCACTTTTATAGCCAGCATTGCAAGGTATTTACGTGCCAGATATGCTAAAAATTCATATGCCCCTTCATGCTTCGGCCACCATTTCAGAGGACATGCTTCCATGTCAATGACACTTGTTAAAAAAATAATGCATTAATTAAATTTGTGACTGAACGCCTTGGGGGAGAATTGTATGTCTCTTGTTCTGTTTTACCCGCATTCTGCCATATATTTCGTGTTATAGCAGTCTCGTATGATGACCCAGCACATTGTTTTCAGAACACTTTTACTGCAGATTTGACAAAACGCAAAGAAGGTACCAACGTGAGATTTCTAAAGATAGCTACTGCACTCGACCCAAGGTTTAAGAATCTGAAGTGCTATCCAAAATCTGAAAGGGACAGGGTGTGGAGCATGCTATCATAAAAGTCTTAAAAGAGCAACACACTGATGCAGAAATTAGAGAACCCGAACTACCAAAAAAGAAAACCAACCTTCTGCTGGTGGCTTCAGACTCAGATGATGAAAATGAACATGTGTGGGTCCACACGGCTTTGGATCCTTATCGAGCCGAACCCATCATCAGCATGGACACATCCTCTGGAATGGTGGTTGAAGAATGAAGGGACATATGAATTTGTAGCGCATCTGGCACGTAAATATCTTGCAATGCCAGCTACCACAGAGCCAGCCGAACACCTGTTCTCACTTTCAGGTGACCTTGTAAACAAGAAGCGGGCAGCATTATCTCCTGCAAATATAAATAAACTTGTTTGTCTGAGCGATTGGCTGAACAAGTAGTAGGACTGAGTGGACTTTTAGGCTCTAAAGTTTTATATTGTTTTCTTTTTGAATGCAGGTTTTTTTGTACATAATTCTACATTTGTCAGTTCAACTTTCATGATAAAGAGATTGTACTACACTACTTGTATTAGGTGAATTGAAAAATACTATTTTGTTTTTTACAGTGCAAATATTTGTAATAAAAAATATAAAGTGAGCACTATACACTTTGTATCCTGTGCTGTAATTGAAAACAATATATTTGAAAATGTAAAAAACATTCAAGAATATTTAAATAAATGGTATTCTATTATTGTTTAAACGAGAGATTAATTTTTTTTTAATTGTTTGACAGCCCTAGCCCCTTCATATCCTTTACCGGGAGAGTATACGTACAATATAAGTAAGTCTTTTGTACACGTGCCTTTCACAAAAGCAATGATGATGCAATTTCCTTCGTCAAATAAGAAACATGATAAGCTGGTAGCACAAGAGTAATGTTTCACTTAGAAGGGCAATGGAAAAGACCAGGAATAAAAACTTAAGAATGGCCATACTGGGTCAGACCAATGGTCCATCTAGCTCAGTATCCTGTCTTCCGATAGTGGCCAATGCCAGGTTTCCCAGAGGGAATGAACAGAACAGGTAATCATCAAGTGATCCATTCTGTCGCCCATTTCCAGCATCTGGCCCAAAGAGTCTAGGGACATTTCAGAGCATGGTTTTGCATCCCTACCCATCCTGGCTAATAGTCATTGATGGACCTATCCTCCATGAACTTATCTAATTCTTTTTTGAGCTCCGTTATAGTCTTAGCCTTCACAACATTCTCTGGCAAGGAGTTCCACAGGTTGACTGTGCATTGTGTGACGAAATACTTCCTTTTGTTTTAAAACCTGCTGCCTATTAATTTCATTTGGTGACCCCCAGTTCTTGTGTTGTGAGAAGGAGTAAACAACATTTACTTCCTCCACACCAGTCATGATTTTATAGACCTCTATCATATCCCCCCTTAGTTGTCTCTTTTCCAAGCTGAGAAGTCCCAATCTTATTAATCTCTCCTCATACGGAAGCTGTTCTATACACCTAATCATTTTTGTTGTCCTTTTCTGTACCTTTTCCAATTCCAATGTATCTTTTTTGAGATGGGCCAGATTTGCATGCAGTATTCAAGATGTGGGCATACCATGGATTTATATAGAAGCATTATGATATTTTCTGTCTTATTATCTATCCCTTTTCTAATGATTCCCAACATTCTGTTTGCTTTTTCGACTGCCACTGCACACTGAGTGGATGTTTTCAGACAACTATCCACAATGACTTCAAGATCTTTCTTGAGGGGTAACAGCTAATTTAGACCCCATCATTTTATATGCATAGTTGGGATTATGTTTTCCAATGTGCACTACTTTGCATTTATCAACATTGAATTTCATCTGCCATTTTGTTGACCAGTCATGGTAACTCATGAGACTTCTGCTCTCTGAGTGATAAGTTTCTCATTTGACTGCATTTAGGTAACTTGGGAGGAGAAAATAGTATTGCATAGGACAAGCAATTTAGAAGCCAGCTGGGCTTAACTTTCTGGTGCCCCTCTAACTGCCAGAGCAAGCAAACTGGCAGAAAATAGCAGCCTGTATCAAGAGGCTAGAGAACATCTGATGAAGGCCTTTGTCCTTGGTCTGAAATACTTTATCACTGGAGTAAACATTGCTAGCCACATGACACCATTGCTTGGAATGGAGAAGAGTAAAAAAACAAAACCACATCACCAAAACACTACTGTTATTAATGCTAAAGCCGCAATCCTTCCCACACTAAAGGGGAAGTGTGCAAGTCCCCAAGATTTTAGAACCGCAGTCCTTACCTGCTTTTAATTTCTTGTCCCAGCTTCAACTTGAAATTGTTCAGTGACTGAGTAATAGTATGTGGCACTACTAACTGGGAGAATCATACTCGTACTTCAAACAAATGGACAGTATCACAGAGCTATTCTGCAGAAATGGTAAATTCATCAATCTCATATGTCCTCCCATATGACAAGACAGACACCGTGAGAAAGACACACACTATGCTAGACAATTCATAGATTCCAAGGACAAAAGGGACCATTTCAATCATCTCATCCGACCATCTGTATAACACAGAACTTCCTCAAAATAATTCCTAGAGCAGATCTTTTAGAAAAATATCCAATCTTGATTTTAAAATGGTCAGTGATGGAGACTCCACCATGACCCTTGGTAAATTGTTCCAATGGCTAGTTACCCTCAGTAAAAAATTTACACCTTACTTTCAGTCTGAATTTGTCTAGCTTCAACTTCTAGCCATTGGATCGTGTTATATGTTTCTCTGCTAGACTGAAGAGTTCATTATTAAATCTTTTTCCCCCATGTCAATTCTTATAGACTAATCATGTCACCCCTTAACCTTCCCTTTGTTAGGCTCAAAGAGCTGAATCTAATTAGCTTATCACAGACATAGTTTTTAATCCTTTAATCATTCTCATGCCTGTTCCTGAATCCCCTCCAATTCATCAACATCCTTCTTGAATTGTGGGCACCAGAACTGGACACAGTATAGCAGCAGTAGTTGCACCAGTGCCAAACAGAGGTAAAATAACTTCTCTACTCATACTCAAAAGTCCCGTTTGTGCATCCGAGCATCCCATTAGCTCTTTTGGCCACAGCGCCACATTGGGAGCTTATGTTCAGCTGATTATCCACCATGACCCCTAATCTTTTTCAAAGTCACTACTTCCCAGGATAGAGTCCCCCATCACGTAAGTATATCCTACGTCCTTTGTTCCTAGATGTACACATTTACATTTAGCTGTATTAAAACGCACATTGTTTGCTTGCGCCCACTTTACCAAGCAATCGAGACTGCTCGAATCAGTGACCTGTCCGCTTCATTATTTACCACTTCCCCAATTTTGGGTCATCTGCGAATGATTATCAGTGATGATTTTATGTTTTCTTCCAGACACAGAAGGGACATTGTCTAGGTAAAATTCTGTTTTTCCCTTCACCAGTTAGATCGGTTACTAATATCACCACCATGGACTAATTAACACTGAAAAACCATTTTGAAATCCAATATAATTTTTCACCATTTGTTTGTTTATTTCTTGCAATTCACTGAAGCACAAAACAGTTAAACTTTATAGGTCTGTCAATTTCACTTTCAGCTACTCAAGCACTAGAAGAATGCTGAGGTGTTTGGATTCCATTCAATGCATGGGAATGGCTAAAGGCCAGAAACAGTTCTCAGCAATTTATTAAAAAAAAAAAAAAATTACCTGTTAAAGCTGAGTTTTGAAAAGCTTTAAAAAAAAATCTAGCTAAAGCTAGATATTGATCAAAGAATTTGACATAGGTCTTTTGCCATTACATAATACATAATCAGGGAAAATGAAAAAGCAATTTTACAAATTCTCGTTAAACAAAAAATTAAAGAAATGTGAAAATCACCAAAAATCTTTCTTACTTGCGATATTTTATTGTCATCTACTGCAAGACGTTGTAATAAAGGAAACATTTTAGTCTTGCATCCTAGGAAAAGGAGAATAAATTTAAAAGACATCAGTGACGATCTAAAATATAGAAATATAATACAGTGCTTACTTTACTTACCAAATCCACCATCAGGAAAGTGTATAGAAGAAATTCCAGTGTTTGAAAGAATTAGTTGTTCTAATCTGAAATTTAGAAGTTAAAGTACATCTGTTAAAAAGATTTTAGTAAAAATACTGAAGTTTGTACGTGATACAACCCATGTTAACTTTTTGACAGCAAGCCTTGTGATTTTAAGAACAATGTTTCCAACTACCAACTTCACAGCTGGTAACCAAAGTTTAAAAGGCAGTTTACGGAAGGACAGCAGTGGAGTTCCAAACTTTCAAAATGGCAGATTGCTTTGGAGGTACTAATCTTCACAATGGCTTGATTTTTTGTTTAAAATAGTCTACTGCTCCCTTCCCTTATGAACCTTATTTTTGATATAACGGTTTAAGTAACTTTGCAACTGATCATTCATCAGGTTCGACATATTTGAATGGACACAGAAGTAGATGAAGTTGAGAAGGGAGAAAACAGTATTTTTTCCTAAATCACATACCCAAATGCAAAGTGGCATTTCACGCCACCTCAGCACTGTAACTACCAAGATGCTGCTGTGCAGGAATCTATGGAACAAGATGTTATCACTACAAAAGACCCCAGAGCTTTTCAGCAAGGTGGAAACATTCTTAAAGCATGCACTCCAGGACAAATACCAAAGTTTTGAATCCCAGTAATAGGAAGCATCAAGATGCTGGGTTGGTTTTTTGTTTTGTTTTTTTAATATAGAGGCATTCTTCAGACCAGGATATTACTGCTTTAGGAAAGGTTCTAAATGGGATTTTTCCATACAGCCAATTTTGTATTCTTGATTTGTTTGAAATTTCCATTAAAATCCACTCTTCACATAGATTAAGAAGGTTAGAAACTTGGATTTTTAATCAAACATAATTTTTGAAAATCCTGCGAACAATTTTGAGTACGGCATTCTTTCCACATATTAACAAGATTTCTCCAAAGCTAACAAAGATATCATTAATAGAATTCATGTCAATCCTAAAACATACATGTTCGTAGCCAGTTGAAGATACGTATGACCATCTGAGGCAAGCCGAGTGTAGGACCTGGAAAGCCTTCTCTACAACACACTCCTATTCAGGAGAGAGAGAGTGGTCCCAAAACTACAAATCACCTGCATTTGTAGAGCTGCCCTTGAGATGGAGGAGAAAAGGGTGTGGGATTGGAGAACTCTTATAAAAACATTCTGTCCCGCACACCCTTCTCCTATTTTGGGTCACATCCTCTCTCCCCACCTCACCCCACCTTGGAGGCATGCAATCTGCAAGTGTAGCATCACCCAGGGAAGAAGTAAGGAAGGGCCTTAGGGCTGGTCTACATTTCAAAGCTAGGTTGACCTAGCTACGTCACTCAGGGGTGTGAAAAAAGAGACATTGTTAACCCTAAGCCCCAGGGTAGACAGTGCTAGAAGTCTTCCATTGACCTAGCTACCACCTCTTGGGGAGGTGGATTCACCACAGCAATGGAAGAACCCCTTCCATCACTGTAGTAAGTGTCTACACTGCAGTCTACAGCAGTGAAGCACCTGTGCTGCTGTAGCATTTCTAGTTTAAGAAAAGGTTACTTAAGGCTTATCTACACAGGGAGATTTGTCAGTATAGCTATAGTGGTATAATTATACTGAAACAGCTGTGACAAAGTTCCTCCTCTGCCTTGGTGGGTCCTGCGCTTATTGGTGGATTTTGACCAGAGCAGGGGCTGCCCTAGAGCAATCAGGCAGCCCCTGCTCTGGTCATTCAGGGAACAGAAAACTGTTCAGAAAACTGGATGAACAGTTTTCCTTCTACCAGACCCCTGTACCCCACTGGCCTGGGTCTGTCACATAGCTATGTTGGTATAATTCCCCATGTGGATGGACACTCTGTTTTGGGATTTAGGGTACACCTACACCAGGGGTGGGCAAACTACAGCCCGCAGGCCACATCCAGCCCGCCAGACGATTTAATCTGGCCCTCGAGCTCCTGCTGGGGAGCGGGGTCTGGGGCTTGCCGCACTCCTGTGCTCCAGGCAGGGAGCGGGGTCTTGGGCTGCTTCACGCACGCATGCCATGGCTCTGCGCAGCTCCCGGAAGCAGCAGCATGCCCCTCCTCTGGCTCCTACGTTTAGGGGCAGACAGGGGGCTCTGTGAGCTGCCGTCGCCCAAGCGCCACCCCCGCAGCTCCCATTGGCCAGGAACTGCAGCTAATGGGAGCTGGAGGGGCGGCACCTGCAGATGGGACAGTGCGCAGAGCTGCCTGGCTATGCCTCCGCGTAGGAGCTGGAGGCGGGACATACCGCTGCTTCCGGGAGCTGCTTGAGGTAAGCACCACCCAGAGCCTGCCCCCTGAGTCCCTCCCACACCCCAACCCCCTGCCCTGATCCCTCTCCTGCTCTCTGAACCCCTTGATCCCAGCCCAGACCACCCTCCTGCACCCCAAACCCCTCATCCCCAGCCCCACAGCTCACATCTCCAGCCGGAGCCCTCACCCGCCCCCTGCACTCCAACCTCCTGCCCCAGCCTGGACCCCCCCTTGCGCACCCTGAACTCATTTCTGGCCGCACCTCCAGCCAGAGCCCTCATCCACTCCTGCAACTCAATCCCAATTTCATGAGCATTCATGGCCCGCCATACAATTTCCATACCCAGTTGTGGCTCTCAGGCCAAGAATTTTGCCCACCCCGGCCTACACTGTAATCAGAGGTGTGACTACTGCACACGTAGACATAGCTAGATCAAAGCTAGCTTGGGTAACTCAAATAATACCAGTGACATCTCGAACAACAGCAGTGAAAGGTGTGACTACAGTGTACACATAGCCTCAGCGTGCTTTTTTTTGGTTTAACATGTGTCTTTTTGGAAGTTGTTAACCTAAACCAAAAAAAGGCACTTTAAATCCAAAATGAAAGCATCCATACAGGGAATAACAGCAGCAAATTATACTAGTGTAGGTATGCTGGTAAATTTCCCAGTGTGGACAAACTCTTAGGCTTGGTCTATACTTAAAATTTGTATTGGCATAGCTACTGCGGGATGTGAAAAAACCACGCCCCTGACTGACACAGCTATGCTGACAAAATCCTCATTGTAGAAGCAGCTATACTGACAGAAGAGGGCTTCTGTTGGCATAGGTAATGTCATTCGGGAAGATAGTGTTCCTGCACCAGCAGAAAAACTCCTCCTGTTGGCGTAAGCTACATCTACACTAGGGAGTTATGCTGGCATAACTATGCTGACATAGGCTCTGCAGCGTAGCCATAGTCCTAGTGTTAACTGGGGAGAGGAGCAGGTGGTGGGTGGAAATGCCTTCTTCTGTGCGATTGTAGGGATTAAAAAAGTGAGGCTCTGCCTCCATCCCTGTCTGATCACCCTTTTTTTTTCCCCCGAAGGAAGGAGAGAAGACAAATAATTTTGTGGGATCCTTTCATCTCCATGGCTAAAAGACAAGAGCTGCCAGCCAATTAAATATCCTTGGCTATCTGACCACCTATAAAAATCTCTGGTTGACTCCATGCCAATCAGAATAGTAATCCATTCAGTGTGTTGCCCAACATCATTTCCCAGAATCATACTGACATATAGGAAGGGAGTGGTCATATGTAGTTATTTAATGCATTTAATAACTGGCATTATGTATCCATTAGCAAAGAATTGCCCCTCTAAATCAGGAGCAATCTCCAAAGCTCCTTATCATAGGAAGCCCACTGAGGTTCTAAGAGCTAGTTGTCCTGAAAAGGGTTTTCTCTAGGTTTTGGTCCTATAATTGCAATATCTGAACTTCAAACTGTTTAAAAATAAATAAATCACTAATTCCATAAATATCTTAATAAAAACATGCTTTAATTAAATCTTAAAATAAAATTAAATCCTTCCCCAGATTAAGTTAAATAGTTCAGATATTCTCCACAAAAGAGCAAAAAAACCTTCATTTTCAAAATTCTGTAACTTTCACTAGCAAGGCAATATTATCATGCTTCAAACCACAAAGCATATGTGAATGAATCCATTTACAGAGCATGACAAAGAATTTACAGTAAAGTTCTTTAACAATTACCTGGGGAGATATGCTATTAGCTGCAGTTGACTTCCATCAATTAATTGGTTGTTTGAAAGGTCTAACAATTTCAAGGTCTGTAGAACATTAATGGGTCTGTAAGCATTACAAAAAATGCAATTATGTTTTTAAATTGTTTTAAAATATTTACACTCATATACACACAATATAATAAAATCAGTGTGTTCACACATAAGTATCCCAAATCACACAGTATGTTAAAATCTCCTTTGCAAGATTACCAGGGTAATGGTAATTTAACTCACTACTGGAATTTAGTTTGATTTTTATCAGACATGCCATATAACTTTATGCATACAGTATATTAATCACAAAAGGAGGACTTTAGCATTTAAAGCTAAACCTCATACCTTTCTAAAACTGTAATATCATTAGAAGCAAGGTACAATTCTTCAAGTGCTGGCCACCCCGGAGCATACAGAAGAACCTAATAGGAAAAACTTTATTTAGTATAACTGTATATATGCCAGAATCTGTGCATCACATAAGTTTTACTTAAATCACATTCAAAATATGTCAAAACTATCTAAAAGAAGCTATCTGGAATACTGTTTATTTCACTAACCCTTCCTATTTAATAGTAACTATACCTCTGATCCTGTATCTCATCTGCTAGTACAGATGGTAGTCAGTAGGATTCCACACAGCCACAGGATTCACTGTTACTGGATTGGGATCCATATTTCAAAAAGAAAAGGCTGCAGGGAAACCGACAACATTGCCATTTAAATTGTAACTTTAGGATAGTGTCACCCAGTCTTCCCCCATTCTGTGAACCACCATTTTCCATTTGGATTTTCATGTTTGGTTTACAGAATCTAGAACTTGGGAAAACTTTAAGGTTAGCCAACCAAGACTTTTTCTAAGATATAGGGCTCTGAAAAGTCTCCACTGTTTTCTGTGGAACTATGCCAAATTGGCTTAGCCTAGAAACCTCAAGATTTTATTTTAGTCCTGGATGGGATCTAATGCACATTATTTCTGATAAAGGCAGGTTGACAATTTAATCTATCACTTTTAGGCCAGGCTTACGCTAGGGAAAAGGCCCATTGCTGACACCCTGCGCCAGCAACAAGTCATCTTCCTAGTGTACACAAGGTGTAAAACGAGGGTAACTAACTGAAAAGCAATTTGCACGTTTCCATGCATGGAAACAACTCAGACTTTCATTTTCCTATGTTAGATCTGAGTTCATAGAAATAGGCTTTATTATACTACCGGATGTTTGTCAGCTCCTTTATAAATACATTAAACCACCTACTATACAAAGTGATGCCAGAACCACATTTCATAAAGAATCTCAATATGGTTATAGCAAAGTGGCTCAGTCACATAAAAACAGCTTTAAAAACAGTCAGTGTTGAAAGGTGAACTGTCAGGCTGGAGGGAGGTTACTAGTGGTAGTTTTTTTTTTTTTTTTACTGACCTTGGCACAAAAAGTGGGAATGGGCTAATAAAGTTTGCAGATTACATGAAGCTGGGAGGTATTGCCAATACAGAGAAGGACCGGGATATCATACAGGAAGATCTGGATGACCTTGTAAACTGGAGTAATAGTAATAGGATGAAATTTAACACTGAAAAGTGCAAGGTCATGTATTTAGGGATTAATAACAAGAATTTTTGTTATAAGCTGGGGACGCATCACTTGGAAGTAACAGAGGAGGAGAAGGACCTTGGAGCATTGGTTGATCACAGGAGGACTATGAGCCGCCAATGTGATATGGCTGTGAAAAAAGCTAATGCGGTCTTGGGATGCATCAGGCAAGGTATTTCCAGTAGAGATAAGGAGGTGTTAGTACCGTTATACAAGGCACTAGTGAGACCTCATCTGGAATAGTGTGTGCAGTTCTGGTCTCCCATGTTTAAGAAGGATGAATTCAAACTGGAACAGGTAGAGAAGGGCTATTAGGATGATCCGAGGAATGGAAAACCTGTCTTATGAAAGGACACTCAAAGAGCTTGACTTGTTTAGCCTAACCAAAAGAAGGCTGAGGGGAGATACGATTGCCCTCTATAAATATATTAGGAATAAATACCAGGGAGGGAGAGGAATTATTTAAGCTCAGTACCAATATGGACACAAGAACAAATGGATATAAACTGACCATCAGGAAGTTTAGACTTGAAATTAAACGAAGGTGTCTAACCATCAGAGGAGTGAAGTTCTGGAACAGCCTTCCAAGGGGAGTAGTGGGGGCAAAAGACATATCTGGCTTCAAGACTAAGCTTGATAAGTTTATGGAGGGGATGGTATAATGGGATAGCCTAATTTTGGCAATTAATTGGTTTTTGCCTTCCTCTGCAGCATGAGGCATGGGTCATTTGCTAGAAGATTCTCTGCATCTTGAAGTCTTTAAACCATGATTTGAGGACTTCAATGGCTCAGACACAGGTTTGATACAAGAGTGGGTGGGTGAGATTCTGTGGCCTGCGTTGTGCAGGAGGTCAGACTAGATGATCATAATGGTCCCTTCTGACCTTAAAGTCTATGATTCTATGATCTACATTAGAAAAGTTGCACCAGTATAACAAACTGAAAATCAATTTACACAAGCACACATCCTTAACGTAGATACATTAGAACCAGATTAAACTTCAGATAAACTAAACCTATTTAATTCAGTAATTTACAAATTTAACCTGGTTTAAGTGTGTCTGCATTAGGGTTTCATGCCAGTGTAACAAGCAATTTTAGACTGATTTAATTATACTGGTGCATCTTTTCTCTAATATAGATCAGACTTAACTTTGGAAGATTGTATGATCTAGTGTAAAAGCCCCTATTATGTTTTTACTGACCCATGAAACCAAATGACTAACAAAAACAATTTACTTCATAAATGTAAGAAGCTCATTACCTCTGCCCATGTTACTCCAGTTCGATTAATTGCCAGAACCCTCAATTTACCAAGTGTACAGGTTATAGAAGCAGAATCAGATGGAAATTTCATCTTGTTTTCACTGTATCAAAAGAATAAATAGGTTCTTATTTCTACAGCATAAAACAACTCAATTATTCAACTAAACCACCAATTTAGAATTACATATTTCAAAACAAAAAGGAAGACATAGGATTACATGCCATTAGAGAGGCACATTGTCAAGGACTTTGTATATTTAAATATTTTCCAACCTATTTAGAAAAATGCCTTGGTAGTTTGAGTGCAAACTCTTTCCTTGCCAATTTTATTTTCCTCTACCATGTATGTATATTTGTTGCCAATCTGAGTTCATCACATATGCTAGCCTGATGGCATTAGGAGTTTTGGATTTTTTTGAGGGAGTGGGGGAGGAGGGGTTAGTTTAAGTACTGAAGCATTAAGGTGGGAAAAGAGAATTATTTGTTACCAGAAATAAAAGTGACAAGTCAAATTTCGGGCCTATCACCCTTGACACTGTATCTTTAGAAACAGATTTAAATGAGGGTTTCAGCAGGAAATTCTTAAGAGATTCATTTTATGACAAAATGCCATAGAGATTCCCAGACCTAGCCGTCACTTAATGCTCCAGTAAAGCATCTACATTTTTAACAGAATGACAAATTAATGTATCGGTTATTGTTAGCAGCTAGCCTTTGTATTGTACATTATTGGGGAAATGCAGCGACTCCTCCTATGAAATAGTGGTATAGTAAAACATGGACTCTTCTTGTAATGGGAAAGCTTTCACACCAGATATGTACACAAGAGAAGCACCAAAAAGAGGATAGGTATTTAGAAACTTAGCCACCCTTTTTAGTGTACTCAGAACAGACGACTGGTTCTTTCAATACCTTGTAAGAACATAAGCACAGCCACAGTGGGTCAGACCACTGGTCCATATAGCCCAGTATCCGGTCTTTCAACCATGGTCAATGCCAGGTGCTTCAGAGGGAATGAACAGAACAGGTAATTATCAAGTGATCCAACCCATCATCCATTCCCAGCTTCTGGCAAACAGGCTAGGGACACTTCAGAACGTAGTTTTGCATCCTGAATAACTAATAAGTAATGTTCAATGTAGCATGCTAAGGTTTTATTTTAACTTTGCCTTAATAAAAACATTTTTTTAAAAAAGATTAAAACTAAATATTATGCATAAATGCCAGAACATTGATAAAATAAGGATTTTAAGGACTCAGCCACAGAAAAATGCTGAAATTAGAGAGTTTATACATGGTGCCATAGTGTCCTTAAACTAACTCTAGGTCCTATTTCCCTCCAAAAATCTCTTTCCTCAGTGCTTGTAGACAGAGGGAAATATACCAGAAGAGCTATGTCAGTATACTAGTATAGATATGCAGGTAAATCTCCCCATGTAGACAAGCACTTTGAGATTTCATGGCAGGCTTCCCCAATTTTCATCTGCTCTCACCCTCCCCCTACCAAAATTGTTTATTCTACAATTGTGTACCTACTTGCAACCTTTTTTTTTTATTATTTAAACTGACAAAAGGGCCAAATAAATCCAAAAATTCTGTTTGTGTCATAAGCACCAATTTTTATACAATCCATTTGAATCATAACTCCAGAAAACGCTATAAATCTGGATTACAAATTTTAAGCACTCAAGGATTAAAATTTTATATCAGAGTAATTAAAACTAATTATCTGTGCTCTCTTATTTTTCCTACTTATAAATAGTCACGGTCCTGTATACTCTGCAGCCAACTGGGCCTAAATCCTGCAGCAACTTCGTTTTGGCAGCATTCTGGTGCTGAATTCTGCAAACAAATGGAAAATCTCCAACAGCTTCAATTTAAAAGTTGGGGTCTTTTTTTAACTGAACTAACTAGGAGAAGGAATACAGTCAGTAAAGCATTCCTCTTTTATTTTGATATTAAATTCAGTTTATTTTATGTCGCCGTCAAATTTCAGTTTGCCTCAGGTTTTTGTATTGACAACTGCATTGTACAAATTGTACCATGGAGCCCTTGGATGCTGCTATGGGGACAGTTGTGACTTTTGACACAGAGAAAGGTATGGAACGTTTTTGGTACCTAGGAGTCTTTTGGTAGTGGGGGAGTGTATCTTGTCTTTCCCTACCCTTGTGAATAGGGGAAGAGGTGGCTTAATTTGGGAGTAAGGGAGCCTGAACTCCCAGTTCCCCAAATGTGCAAACCACAACAATAACCAGCAGCCATATTGTCCCTTATCCTAATATTTTGCTATTTCTTCCAACAATGATGGGTAACATTAGCTGAATATTTCTACTTAAAAAGGATCAGCTTTCAAAGTGTTAATTTTACTATTTAAACTGTCACCTTACTGTTTGAGTTAATATACTCCATGCTGATGAACAGAAAAGTTTGTCTCTGCATTATTGGTTCAAGCTGTCTGCTTACAAACTTGGGAAGACCACAATGTATCAGTTCACATTTGGAGGTTTTCTTTGAGAGCCACTGTTCTAACTTTTGTACCCTTTCACATAGCAAGCCTCTGAGTGCGACCCCCCCTTATAAATTAAACACATTTTTTATATATTTAGCACTATTATAAATGCTGGAGGCGAAGTGAGGTTTGGGGTGGAGGCTGACAGCTCGCAACCCCCCATGTAATAATCTCGCGACCCCCAGAGGGGTCCTGATCCCCAGTTTGAAAACCCCGGTCTTAGAGTGTGTGTCAGGAGGTTGCCCTATTTATTCAAGACCGCCTGCCTGAAGGTGCCCTGAGCATGCCCCCACACCTGCCTGGAGGTACCCCAGACCAGCCATAGCCGTGCCACACCTCCCATCCCCATCCATCTTATTTCTCTGAGATCTATTTCTAACAACTAGACAGGCCTAAATACACATACAAAAGTGAGATCTCAACTCCCACTTAGCTGCCTCTACTCTTCACCCCTAAAGGGGGTTTTAGTGTGCATAGCAGGAATGTGCCAACACATCAATATGTAAAAATCTATGTAAAAATCAGACTCTTGATCAAAAGCGTACTGGAACAATTTGTAGGGGAAAAAGAAAAGAAAAGAAAGTGGGACCAGGAGATAGCGTCCCAAGACAGCTAAAAACAATTCAACAAAAGGAAAACAAGTTTGTTTTAAAGCCTTCCTGCATTAAAAGAGAAAACTAAGTTATCAACTTTTCAATACAAAGAAAAAATAGGTCTGAAAAACAACAATGAAAATAGATAATTAATAAAATTAGCTAGACTTAGTAGCTGCCAAATGAGGTACCTCAGTAAGGAGGAGACAGTACATTCATAAGGCTTGCAACTGTCACCTTAACTGCAGTAAGGTGGTTTAATGTTTTTCATTGTGAAATTCCATAGGGCCTCTCATACCATTCTGAGTCAAAAGGATACTATCAACTTGATTTTTTTTTTAAGTGTAGTTTCTAAGAGAGCACCCTTTAAATAGTATTTTTCTGAACATTTTAAAAATAGCTTTTCTATAAACCTTTTAAAGGGGTTTTCAGCCCCGTTGATGTTTACAAGGAATTTATTAGTCAATTTCCCCCTTGCCAAGTATATACTAAAAAATGATTAAACTGACTATATATATAAGTCACTGTCACACACAGGAAGTAAACAACCAAAAAAAAAAAAAAAGAGAAGCAATCACAACAGTCTTAGGAGTTTCTTTCAGCCATAGCAGTCTTAGGGGCTTTTTATTTTTTAACAATAACATATACTCATTTTTGAGACAGAATTGTGATTTTCAAGTTTATAGTATTCCTTTAAAACTTTGAGACATGTAGACAAGACAAAAATGTCTACCCTAAACACTTTTGGAGAATTTGGTTTCACACAGTCATAAACATCCTTGGAAATCTATTCTTTCCTTGATATGACATGCTATTGGAAGGTATCGCACATCCAGAAAAAGACACTATACCTAATAAAAAAAATAAAAACAAAACATTCTGGAACAATTATGAAACAAAAAATATATATATTCATATATATACCTGAGATCAAGACTTTCCAGATTCTGAACTTGACAACCAATATCTGTTACTTTCTCCCAGGATGGCAACAGATTTTTTGATAGATTTATACTCCTGATATCTGAAAATTCACTTTAAGAAAAATGTATCAGAATTCGGAACTTCTTTTTTCAAAAAACGGAGGTATAACTTTACAACTATTGTGTTCTTGAACCAAAATATAGCAGAGTAAATCTGTCTGAGCTAACAGATACAACTGAGTAACTGAGCAGTAGTATCTCGGAATCTGGCACAGATATAGTACATTAAGACTTATAAAACAATTCAGTTCTACGGGTCCAGGAGAGTGTTTATGTCTAGAGTAAAGAACATACAATTCTTATTTGTTCATTTACTCTCTAAATCCAAGTGCTTAAGTGACTTCCACCCGTTCACTGGTGTGACTTTCTTTAAAACATCATCAGCAAACATATTTCTTGAATGGTTCACCCTTAGCGCTGGAGTTTATTATAGTTGGCATTATGAAGGGATGATTGCTGGATGTCCATGTCATAGCCAACTCCTTCTCTTCAGCAGTTAAGGTTTGACCCCGATACCGAGTATTGAGAATATTTGCAAGAAAATGAGCTGGAGATAGTGCTTGCCCCGTTCATTTTTTTAATGCTTGTAATTTAACTCTGTCATTGCATATTTGTCTTTTTAAGATCTCACTCTGTTCCTTCCAAATTTCAACAGCGTCAGCAAAAAAAACAAACAAACATTTATTTCCCTGCATTTTTTCCCAAGGCTACAGAAATAGGCTTCAGGGTACTCAGCATGTGTTCAACATTTTTCTTAAGCCCAATGTTATCTATAGTTGTTTCTGGATGATGGAGATTTTGCTACAGGTGACTATTTGACATACATGATGTGACAAACACTATCATTGGCAGATAACTCTGAAACTATAGAAAATGATGGTCATATCTTGAAGGTGGATAGTCTTCAGACTCCTCTATTTTGAGGATGGATTCTCCTAAACAAAATAAGTCAATGCAGTTATTTAAATTTAAATTATTATTACCATACTGCTCATTTAGTATTACGCATTGCATTCACGAATACTCAGTACTACGTTAAAGGTGAAATTGTAAAAGGAAGAAATGCCTATTTCAGCTATTTATTTTTTATTACAACTGCGTCTAAAATGCTAGTACCATAGAGTAACAACTACATTTTTTGCTCAAACATGAGAATTCAAGAATAGTCCAGAAGGAAGACAGGCAGTCCTTAAGAAAGAAGTCTGAAATAAAGTTTACCAACCTGAAGATCCTGCATGTTCAGACATGTTCCTTTCATCACCTTCAACACAGCTTCCTCCTGAGAAGGAACACTTCTCATGATATTGTTTCATTTGGGCAACCAGGCCTTGCATTTCTTTGTTGCACTGTTTGCATTTTGCATGCATGCCTGTCTTACCCACAGGTAGAGGAACTTCATTAAAATATTCCCAAACTGGGCCTCTTTTACAGCCTGCTGCCATTATAGTGAGAGAATGGTATGGTAGATCTCAAATTAATGAAGGCTACACTCAGAAAGACCTCCAGACTTCTGGAATGTTCTGCTCAAACAGTTTCACTTTTGTTTCTACTGCCTGTCCCTCCCTTCTCACATTTATCTCCAGACTTTTTCCCCTTGTCCAGATCTATTCCACCCCCAACAATAGGGTTACCATATTTAAAAAAATTAAAAAAGAGGACACTCAACGGGCCCTGGCCCTGCCCCTGCCCCTTTCCCACCCCCGGCCCCACCCAACTCCGCCCATTCCCCGCCCCTTCCCCAAAGTCCCCACCCTAACTCCCCCTCCTCCCTACCAGCCACGCGAAAAGGGCTGCCCGAGCGCTACCAGCTTCACGGTTTGCCAGGCAGCCTCCAGACCCTGTGTCCCCGGCCGGCGCTTCCCCAGCGCAGCTGGAGCCCGGGAGGGGAAGTGCCCGGCCAGTATTTTTCCTGGACATGTTCGGCTTTTTGGCAATTCCCCCCCGGACGGGGGTTTGATTACCAAAAAGCCGGACATGTCCGGGAAAAACCGGACATATGGTAACCCTACCCAACAATCTTTTATTCATCAAACTTTTTTGAAACTTTGCACTTTTAGAGAGAGGCAAGGGATTGATTCTGTGTATACAAACTTGCAGAGGGACAATAGGGTTGAGGTCTGTTATTTCTCACCTCTATATATTATTTATTTAAAAACATTTTTGCTGTTAACAAGCATGTTATCATCTCTGGAGACACAAATCCACAGTTTGAGAACTGAAAAACTAAGCGCCTCTGATGGAGCTTCTAGACTGAGCACTGAGTCCCACTGGGTAGATAGAAAGATTAACCTAAATCTATAGAGAAGCTCCTGGAACCCTATAAGATTGGGTCCCTAATCCATGAACAATTGGAACTCATTTACAAAATTTTTAACATTACATGAATATATTGGCTCATACTATAGGATTAGAATTTATAATCCTATTCCATGATGAGATATCTTTGAGCTATAATGTATCAATTAAAATGATCTTTAGATGGGTTTTTCCTCAAACAAATCCGATTTAAATAAAAAAATCGGATTTTAATTTTTTTTTTAAATCATTGATTTTTATCCACCCTGTAGTTAACTGAACTGATATTTTAAAAAACCCTACTTGTGCCCATTATAATGGAATTTCTACCATTCAAAAGCAGGTATAGTTAGAGGACAGACTGAATTAAGCTCCTAAATTTAATAAAAATGAACTAAACTGATTTGAAAATAACCTCTGAAAATATGTAAGTTTAATCCCTTAATGTCTGCAGAGTACACCTGAAATGCTTAAAGCGTGTGTTTGATTTATGTAAATAGTAGCACATAATAAAACGCCTTTAGAAAAGGATACTAGGACACGTTCTGCTGATTTCCTCTTTCTGACCAGCATGGCTCACTGCACATTCTCTCACTGAGATGTCTAACAATTTGTTCAGTTGACTACATGAAAAAAATACTGAACGTTAATTTGTATACCAAACAGAGAAAAACAGCACAGATTATATATTGTATAAAAGCACCCAGATATTAAATCTAAACACTATGCATTTCAGATCCTTTTTACAATTACTACTATACAAACACTATATTACTAGATAGTGGTATCATCTTCATCTAAATCATAGAAATGCTCTCATGAAATACCCTTCAACAACATTACAAAACAGTTTGTAAAAAGCAGCAAAGAAAATGACCCTATCAGATTTAAACCACACAGAGTAATTCAAGTAGGCAAAATTTAGTAACCTAATGTGGAATTTGGGACATCCAGGCTCTTACAGAAAGTGCTACAGGAATTTTAATAATTATAAATGATCAGTACCTTTGGTTTTAAGTCTCTTCTGGGAAAAAAAAAAGGTATTTTCAACTGTTCAGTAGCCCATAATGACATTTGTGGGCAGGGGGGCTAGGGAGAATTGATTCAGTATCAGCTTACAGGAGAAGAGTGCCATCTACAGAATCAAGGCCACCCAACTGCTGCAGGAGCTCCACAGAGACACCAGCATACGTGCAGCCTGTTCCATACACCACCCTGATTATCAACAAATAACTAATTTCCTCCTCCTCTTTCCCAGATAGAAGAATGAGAGCCACTTAGAATAGGTGAAGACAATTCCTCATTACTGGTACTGTGGGCTTTCGACCCTTGATTTTTTTATTCACAGAATATAGTCACCACCGAGCTGAGTTGATACCGACATTAAAACACTAACAAATCATACATCATACAACAATCATAAAACATTAAATTTATTTTAAAAGGAACCATTATGTTAATGTGTATGACAAATGCTAATCTCTTGCTAAACTACATTCCCTTTTTTTTAGCCCCCGAAATTGCTGTCATTACCTCTTGTTGTGTGAAGTCAGACTGAGCACCTAGGAACTGGGATCATGTCTGATTAGTCTATAAAATGTAATGCAAATTGTGGTGCTATATTAATAAGTTTCTTGGATATCTCTCAACCAAGTACAATCCTGCTTAGTTTTTGAAATCTGACAAGATCACAGCTTGAGGTGGTATACTAATATGAACTAGAAACCTCACCAATTAAGGTACATATTCTCCATCTGATGCAAAATATAACTCATTACACCTGAGAGGAGCACTAAAAATTGAAAATTGTCACACCTTTATGTATCAAAAAGCTTTTAGAGTAATTATGGCCCAATTTATGTAAAAATAAACTGCAATGTTAAATATAAGGTTCTTTACTTTTGTCAGCCTGCATAAGGCTACTGGCAAGAGATGCACAATACATGCGTATAGTAAAGATGTTAGGGGGAAAGATGTTTTGGATGCATAACTTTAAAAAGTAACATTGTCAAGATAGCCATTAAAAGAAATTCCTGGCCTGTGTTACTACATCTTGTATTAACTAAACATGAAGAGCTTTACAAATCTGATTTACTGTTCATCATGGATTTTTTTGGCATTTAATTCAACTGGAACAGTGAAACTAACGAGTTTCAGCTTCTGTCTCCAGATCATTTCACTTTCTGGTTTTTATACTCCCTAGCACAGGGGCGGGCAAACTTTTTGGCCCGAGGGCCGCATCAGGTTTCATAAATTGTATGGAGGGCCGGTTAGGGGAGGGGGTCATGGCCTGGCCCCCACCTCCTATCTGCCCCCGCCCTGGAACTCCTACCCCATCCAACCCTCCTTGTTCCCTGACAGCCCCTCTGGGACCCCTGACCCATCCACATACCCCTACTCCCTATCCCCTGACTGCACCCAGACCCTGCCGCCCATCCAACCCCTCCTCTCATTCCTGACAGGCCCCCGGGGCCCCTGCCCCATCCAACCACCCCTTCTCCCTGTCCCCTGACTGACCCCGGAACTCCTGCCCCAACTGCCCCCTGCCGCCCCATCCAACCCCCCCTCCTTCCTGACTGCCCCCCAGGATTCCTGCCCCCATTCAACCCCCCATTTCCGCCCCGACCATCATCCACACCCCCGCCCCCTGACCACCACCCCAAACTCCCCTGCCCTCTATCCAACCCCCCCACTCCCTGCCCCTTACCATGCTGCCTGGAGCACTGGTGGCTGGCGGCACTACAGCTGCGCTGCCCGGTTGGAGACAGGCCATGCTACCACCACCACGCAGCACAGAGCACTCGGTGAGGCCGGGCTCTGCAGCTGCGCTGCCCCAGGAGCTCACAGCCCCGCCGCTCAGAGCATTGTGCCGGCGGTGAAGCAAGTGAGTGGAGGCTGTGGGGCAGGGGGAACAGCAGGGGAGGGGCTGGGGGCTAGCCTCCCGGGCCAGGAGCTCGAGGGCCAGGCAGGATGGTCCCACGGGCCGGATGTGGCCTGCGGGCCGTAGTTTGCCCACCCCTGCCCTAGCACAATGTTGTTGAGTTTGAGTTCACAATGCTAGACAAATGTTTAAATCCCCCCGCCAAAGAAAAAGTTTCAGCAAAAAACAAGAGATAAATGTTTATTTAAAAGATTGCTCTCATAAGTTTTTAAAAAAATATATGCCCAAAAGCTATGCTATATGCTCCAGTCTTCCAATCCCCGGAGTCTGTGAATATCTAATACAGAATCATGGTTATAATTCCCAGACAAAAACCTCTGTTAAAATACAGTTAATGCTGAGAAGGCACATCAGTAATTCAGCATAAAATATGTCACAGGCATATCAACTCAGAAAATTCACAGTTAAGGTTAAACTTAATCCCCTATCCCCAAACATGTTAAAACTATGGAAATACACAATTAGGTCACCCAATCCAATTTTAACTGTTTGCACTGTCACAGACCTTTCAAGTTCCCAAATAGTAAAAACGCCCTAACATTTTATGCACAAGCTACATGTGGATTATTATTTCTAGGTTTAACGATCAATTCCCCCCCCCCCATTTTTCTCCATAATGGAAAGTTTCTCCTTTGGCAGAAACCTTAACTCAACACAATAGTGTTTGTGGACCCAGACTGGATTAAATTTTCAGTTATGAAAAATTACAGGAGGAAAATATTAATCCTACAAATTATTCAAATGCTGCCTATGCACAAGACTTCAGTGAGTTAACTTTTTGGAAAGTTTGATGAGTCTGTTATATTGTTACGGAGACACTTAAAAGGCAAAAAATGTCTGACACTAGGTGCTATACATCTTAAAAGGGCTCATTTTTAATTAATTTTAATTCCTAAACTAATTAACAGATTCATTTGTAAATTCTCAGGAAAAAAAATCTGTACTCAAAGTGTAAGTGTTTTATTTTTGAGGAGACTACACAAGTTTTCATATATAACAAAGAAGCTGAATTCATGATTTAAAGGACAAAACTCCACTCAGCCTTAAATATGGAGTCAATATCAATACCTGTAGAATACAACTCAGATTTATATATATAAATTACACTTGCCTTTGTTGTTCTATAATAGAATCAAAACCAACAAGTTCCACAGTCTTCTTTCCAATGACTAATGCATTCTCTTTCTCACATTCAACATCTTGCTCATCATTCAATCCATAGCGGTTCTTTACTGCAGTAAGAAAATCCACACCAAAATTTGCCTTGTTTGGGCGGATAAAGGATCCTCCTGTAGGGTGACTGGAAGGGTGGGAAGAGAGAGAACGTGTAGCAAAAGAGGAAATACAAAACAGCAGTCAGACTTCTGGTAATAATTTCCTGTTCTCAGGGCACTTTTTAAATTATTTGTACTTTGAGTAACATTAGAAAAAATATGGAATTCTCATTCTACTACTGGTGTGGAATTATGCAGTTGTGAAGTATTCGGCAGCACATGCACCCCTTACTGCAATCAACAGAAGTCAGTATAATCTCCAACTCCCCCCAGTAGATGTTATTAGCAGCACTTGTACCAATGTAATGAGATTATAACACATGAAAACTAAATTCTTCGTAACTCCACTCCTTAAAAAAATCTGAATTTCTAGAAAAGCAGAAAAATGTATCCACAGCAATGGGTTATTTCTGGGTATTGTTAAAATTAAAGTACCTGTTTTAAAAGAATCGTAACTAAAAATATCATCCATCTCAGGTAAGTGTAAAATGATCATATTAACAATTGTCAGGGCTTTGTGTATTCCACAGATAGCTGTAGTATTTCTTGCTATAATATCGTGCCCCAGAACCAAAGACAAGTCATCTACCTGTACAGTAGCTGCTGTTCTTTGAGATATGGGTGCAAATGTATACTCCACTCAGCTGTGCATGCACCCAGTGCACCAAAGACAGAGAACTTTGCTTATCAGTACCCGTAGGTGCACCATTCGCACCCTCTGGCCCTGTAGCCCCTCCCCTGGCTATTAAAGAACAATGCCACCCCAATCCCCCTGAGTTCCTTTATACTGAACATCAAGAATTGAGACTCCAATGCAGAGAGGAGAGAAGGTGGGTCACGGAATACACATCTGCTTCCACATCTCAAAGAACAACAGTTACTGTACAGGTAGGTAACCATCTTTTCTTCAAGTGGTTGCAGATATGTATTCCGCTCAGGTGACTCATAAGCAGTATCAGTAGGAAGGGGTCGGAGACTACTTGAAGAACAACCACAGAACTGCCTTTCCAAAATTTGCACCTAATCTAAATGCAGTCATAATAGCATAATGCGTGGTAGAAGTATGTATATAAGACCATGTAGCAGCTCTGCAAAATGTCCAATATTGAAACGTCACTGAAAAATGCAACTGAGATGCTTGGGACCCTGCTGAATGAACTCAAACTTTGTGAGGTGGTGGCAAAGCTATCCCATACACTGTTATAACACAGGAGGTTATCCACCTGGAAATCATTTGTACAGAGAATACTTGACCCTTCAGCGGATCTGCAAAGGAAACGAAAAAGGCTCAGTTCTTTCAAAATAAAACACCGAGCATAGTCTCATACCCAAGGAATGAAGACGCTGTTCGTCTGCATTTGAATGAGGCTTGGGAAAAAAATACATTTAAATATATATATTATCTGGTTAAGATGAAACGGACACCATTTTATAGAAAAACTTGGAATGAGCCCTCAAGGCCACCCTTTCTTTGAAAAACGTGGCATACAGAGGGTCTGCCATTAGGGCTCACCGCTCACTAACTCTTCTTGTGGAAGTTATGTCACTGTTTTGATAAAGGAGTTGCTAAGGGCTCAAGTGGAGGACTGCTGAGGACAGCCAACACAGAATTATGACGCCACTGAGGAATCACTTTCTTCACCAGTGGAAAGAGACTAATGATCCTTCTCAGAAATCTGACTACCATGCATTTCAAGAAAACTGAATTCCCTTGGACTGGAAGCAAACACCAAAATCATCAACAAGTGGGCTCTCAATGACCTGAAAGATCAGAAGACTGACGGTGTAACAGGTATTCAAAAATGTCCTGAATTCGGGCATGTATTGATTGAACTCCTCAGGCTAGGAATAAAATTGAAAAACTTTTGTACTTAGCTGAATAGGAAGCCCTAGTAGAGGGCTTCCTACTATTAAGGAAAACCTGTCAAACAGCTTTGAAACAGTGTTCCTCCTTCCTTACCTAATCAAGCAGCATCCATGCTGTGGGGTGCAGACTGTTCAGTAGTGGATGCAAAATCTGACTGTGGTACTGAATCAGTAAATCAGGACAGCAAGGAAGAGAAATGGTCAGATGAACAGAAAGACTGAGGAGTCTGAAAACAAGCACTGTCTTGGACAAGCTGTTGCAATGACAATCAGTCTGACATGATACATCCCCAGCTTGAGCATCACCTGAGGAACAACTGGAATATCGGGACGGGAGGACATACATCAGCACCCATCTCCAGTTCAAATGAAACGCATCAGTTAAGGAACGGCGACTGAGACGCCCTCCATAGCAAAACTTACGTCACTTCTAGTTGTCCTTCATTGCAAACATGTCAATGGACCTCAGCACATTGCTCTTCAGAGACCACTCAAAATTCTGGAAGAAATTCCTGCCAAGATAATCAGCTAAGTAATTCTGGGACCCTGGTAAACAAGCTGCTGTGGGAATGATAGTCTCTTCAATGCAAAACCGCCAAAACTTTTATCACCTCCTGACAAAACCAGATTGAGCAGGGTACCTCTCTGCTTGTTCACACAATAAACTATGGTGGTGGTGGTGGTGTCTGAGAGTACATGAATCACTGTGACCTTGATATTTGCTCAAAATGCCCTGCTTGTATTGTAAACAGCTCAAAGGTCCAGGATATTGATATGAAGCAATACTCCCTGCTCGCTCCACAAACCTTGAACATTTAATCCCCCTAGATGAGCTCCCCAACATATTGTGTAAGCATCAGCAACTATGGTCCCAGATTGATGACGACGAAGCAAAGGGGACCCCTTTGGAAACACTGACCTGATCTGTCCGCCACTCTAGGAAGCCCAGGATGGGCAATGGTATCTGCATCAAACTGTCCAGCAACTAACAACTTGGGAGATATATCAGTTTCAACTAATCGTGAAAAGGACAAACACGTAATCTTGGATAAGTGCATGCAGCCATATGACCTAACTTCTGGCCCATAGTTGAAGGGTGAGAGCAGACACATACACAGGTAACAAAATTATCCATTTGGTAGAAATGCCCTCAACTCAGAGTCTAGTAGGGCCCTAATGAATTCAGTGTTGTTTTTTTTGAATTAGTACTGTTCACTTTGCCTTGTTCAAAACCAGACCCAGATGATCAAGACGACAGTGTGAACTGGACATGCAAGGACTTTTTCTCTAGAGTTGCCCCTCACTTTACCAACCATCCAGGTATGGAAAGGGATGAATTACGTTTTTTCTGAGGTACGCTGTCACTACAACCATGCATTTGGTAAAACTGCACAGAGCCGAGAACAGGCCAAAGAGGAGCACAGTGTACTGAGAGTGCTGACCTGCCACAAGTCTCAGAAATCTCCTGTGGCTCAGAAAAAGTCATCACATAGAAATAAATGTCCTAAACATCCAGGGCAGCAAATCAGTCATGATTCAATACAAAAGAACAGAAGCTAGAGTGTCCATGAAAAATTTCATGTATTTGCTATACTTTTTGAGACTGTGGGGATGAAGAATAGGTCTCATTCCTATATAGGCCTTGAGGACCAGGAAATACCAGGAAGAGAATCCTTTTCCTTGATGCTGCAGGGGAATCTTCTCTATAGCTCCCAAAGGACACAGAGTCTGAACCTGTGTTTAGAGAGAGGTCCCTAAAGAGGGATGGGGTTGGGCCATGGGAAGGGGTGGGGAATGCACAGAAATTGGATAGCATAACCCCATTTTATGGTGGTTGAGGACCCTTTTTTCCATGGTTACTGTGTCCCAAGAACTGTAAAGGTAAGACAGCCTATCCGTGAACTGAGAGAATGGGGAGATCACAACTGGAATGGTATCCTAGATATGCAACTTAAAATGGCTGCTTGCTCAATGTTGGATGAGAGCGGGCTTACTAGTTAAAACTGGACTCAGAAGGCCTCCTTCTCTACGACCCTACTTGGAGAAGTCTTGCTGCAAAATAGGGAAGGATGACTACCAGAAAAGCCGCTGCAAGTTGTATTGCTGCAGTTCTGTTTATCTTCATAATGAACCCTTGGGGGTTTATACCCCAGCTCCAAATGAACGTAACGTAGCACACGAGTCCTTAAAAGGATGTAAAGTCTCACCAGTTTTCTCAGAAAAAACAAAAATCAACCATCAAAAGGCAAGTCTTCTATGCTCTGCTGAACCTCTGGAGTGATGCCAGAATTCTGAAACCATAAGGCCCGTCTTGTAGTCATAGCTGATGCCATAATTCTGAAGGAAGCATCTGCCATGTCCAGAGCTGACTGCAATGATATTTTGGCTACCAGATGGCCCTCCTCAATGACTGTCTTAAAGTCTCCTGGCAATTTAATCAGTGAATTTGGACATAGCATCCCAATCGATGAAGTCGAACAGTGCCTGATGATCTGCAATGCCCATCTGTAACAACTAGGTTGAGAGTATTTTTCTCACATCAAATCCAGCCTTTTTGACTCCAGGTCTTTAGCTGTGGACTTGTACTTCCCCTGCTATGATCTATCATTTACTGCCAATGCAACAAGAGGGTTAGGGCTGGATGGGAATAGAAAAACTCAAAATCCTGCATAGGGACAAAATATCGTTTATCAGTCCACTTTGCTGTAAGAGGTAACGAAGCTGGGGTATTCCACAAGGACTTTAAAGGCTCCAAAAGAACTTACTTTATTGGGAAAGCTACCTTCCCCGGAGGTGAGGCTTGGAGAATAGCCAACAACTTATGTGTATTCTCATGCACAAATTCTGCCTGAATACTCAAGGCAGAAGCCATATACTTCAGGACACACTGGTACGATTTAAAAATCCTCAGGCACAGGGAAGAAGAATCTGGTACCGTGGAGTCATCTGGTGAAGAGGACGACGAAGAACAAGTGCTCTCTCAGGAGCCTCCACTGGCCCCACTTCCATGTGGAAGGGGTTCACGGTGAGCTGGCATAGTAGGAATGACCTCACACTGTGTCTTTTCCTGAACAAGGTCGAAGAATGGGATCTTGCAGACTGATGAACATCCCAAGGAGACCACTGGGAATAAGGGTATGGCATTGGTGGCCAGTAGGTA